CCTCACTCTCCCTGGCTAAGTGGCTACTATTGTTCCATTTAGTAGTTAAGGAAAGCAAGGCTTGGGGACAGGGCTAGCTTCACAGACCTATGATATATACAGAAGCAGCTTGAGTTTGAAGGGTCCTAGTTTGGTTTGTTGTTGTTTGTTTTTGTTTTTTATAACTTTTTATTGAGATTAAGGGATTACATAAATTTCACAGTGTTGTGATAATGATACTTAGTTAAAGTCACACATTTTAACCTTTACGAGGCAAATTGTCATTATCATGGTCTGTAAAGTTTGTGAATTCTTTTTTTTTTTTGGGGGGGGGTCTGGTCGTGGAGCCTGAACTCTGGGTCTGGGCACTGTCCCTCAGCTCTTCAGCTCAAGGCTAGCGCTCTACCACTTGAGCCACAGCGTCACTTCCAGCTTTTTTCTTTTTGCTTATGTGGTGCTGAGTAATTGAACCCAGGGCCTCAGGCATGCAAGGCAAGCGCTCTACCACCGAGCCACCTTCCCAGCCCCAGTTTGTGAATTCTTTGAGTTTTGACAACTCAACTATTTCTTCCACATTGGGTGATATGTACATTTCTTTCCTTTAGTATAAGCTCTGTGTGTGTGTGTGTGTGTGTGTGTGTGTGTGTGTGTGCCGGTACTGGGGCGTGACCTCAGGGCCTGTGCACTGTCCCTTCACTTTTTCATTCAAATCTGGTTCTCTACCGCTTGAGATACAGCCCTACTTCCAGCATTTTTGATGGTAAATTGGAGATAAGTCTCACAGACTTATCTGCCCAGGCTGGGTTTGAATTGCAATATGCATTTCTCACCCTCATGAATAGCTAGGATTACAAGAATGAGCCACCAATGTACTTGGCTCCTGTACTTGGTTTTACTAATCTGCTATTTCTATGTACTAATAACTATTTCTTAAGCTATTATTATTATTAAATTATTATTACTATTACTATTATTATTTGTAGTGCTGATGACCAAAACCAGAGGCTCACACATGCAAAGCAAGCCTTCTACCACTGAACTATACCCCCATTCTTGAAATTCTCAGGAACTTTTGAACAAGAGGCCCATATTTTAATTTTGTCTTACATCCTGCAAATTATGCAGCTGGTCTTGCTTGGAGGATGGTAGAGTGGAAGCTTGCCCAGCCTGGATCAGGCTTCTCGCTTCCCAAGGCCTCCCCCCTTGGGTGCCTGCATCTTGGCATGCCAAGAGCTGGAGCTTCAGGCTGCATTTGGCATTGTGGCCTTGGCATCTACCAGGGAAACTTGAGGAGCACAGTTCCTGCTGATGATGAGGGAGGCGGGATGAGGGGAGGCCTACACAACAATCCTGGGAGCAAGGAGGTACAAGGCCGCTAGAGCAACTACGCTCTGTGTAACTGGAGCTGTCACATTGGGTCCCAGCTGCTCTGGTCCAACCCAGCTCTGGGAACTCAGCCTTCTTTGCCATCAGGGCGCAGTTCCAGGGGACCCCCACACTCTCACTGTAAGACTTGATTTTCCCTTTCCTCAACCTCAGTTTTCCTCCATGGAACATGGGAACAATAACTCTTACTTCAACTCTTTCCAGGTTGGATCAATAGCTTGAAATCTCTTAGCTATAGAATCTTCTATGTATTTCAACAAATTCTTACCAGGAAATGTAAATGAGTCAAGATGTTCGAGCCAAGGGGCTCAAGTTGAAGTGGGGATGAGACTCCAGGCAGTCCAAGAAAAGGAGACTGAATCCTCCTGGAGAGGATTAAGGGCGCTGCCTTAACAGGATGATGGCACAAAGCAGATGATTACTAAATCATTCATTTACCATACATACTCATGCACTGCTGGGCATCTGACTGGGAGCAAGAAAAACTAGGGGCCTGCCTTCAAAGAGATCCCAGACACTGGGAGCAACGAGGGCAGCATTGTATTGTAAGTAGGAGGACATCTGAGTTAGGTCTTAAGAAGATGGATGGATGGAAGCCAGAGAAGGAGGGCAAAAAAATGGGGCTGTGCGGACAAAGGGAGTGGCAATCTCCAGACAGGAGGTGAGTGAGGGCTCTCAGCCAGGCTGGGTCAGAGGCAGGAGAGGAGGCAGAGAAGTGGGAGGTCCCAGGTGGGGGCTGGGAAGGGTGGTAGAGTCCTAACAGAGTATGAAGCAAGGGATGGCAGTGACAGGTGACAGAACATCACCCTAGCCTGTGACAGAGGGTTAGATCCTGGGCCAGCCAGGGGTTCTACCCTCAGCATGAATTCTCAGAGCAGAAGATTTTCTCAGGGGAGGTAAGAGAAGTCAGAGAGGTAGATGAAGCACCAGGCTGAGCCAAATCCCTCCTCAGGGGTGGTGAGCCAGGAAGCCTCCTAATGCACAGTGGTGGGTGGGGCAAGGCTAGGGTTTTGCCCTTCCCCTCCTGACCTGCTACTGCTAATGGAACAGTCCCCATACCCCCTTGGCTCCATTACCCAACTCCTGGAACTATTCATTACTCTGCCCAAGAGTCACCATTAACCTGCTGTGGCTGCCAGGTTGCAGGGAGGTGGCCTTGACCCCCATCTACCCCTTCAGATGGGGCTTGCTGGATGACTCACTGGGCTTCAATTTCCCGGTTGGATCAATGGCTTGCAATCTCTTAGCTATAGAATCTTCTATGTATTTTCAACAAATTCTTACCAGGAAATGTAAATGAGTCAAGATGTTCCAGCCAAGGTGCTCAAGTTGAAGGGGGATGAGACTCCAGGCAGCTCAGGAAAAGGAGACTCTGAATCCTGCTGAAACTTGACTTTCAATACCCAATAATGACCGGAGCACTAGTGGCTCATGCCTGTCATCTTAGCTACTCAGGAGGCTGAGATCTGCAGATGATCTTTTGAAGCCAGCCCAGGCAGGAGAGTCTATGAGATTCTTTTTTTTAAATTTAATTTAATTTTATTTGTGAACATACTGTACAGAGGGGTTACACTTACATGGGCAGGATAATGCGTACATTTCTTACCAAGCATTGCATCCTCCTCCTTTGTTTACCCTTGACATCCCTTCCCAGCCTCCCCCCTCCCCCTCTATGAGATTCTTATCTCCACTTAACCACCATAAAGCTGGAAGTGGAGCTGTAGCTCAGTGGCAGAGCACTAGGCGTGAAAAAGTTAAGGAATGGTGCCCAGGCCCTGAGTTCAAACCCCAGTACTGATTAAAAAAAAAAAAAGCTGGTAGAAATATGAGGAGAAGTATCGGGACTTCCCAGCCCGTCATTAGAATAAGTACTCTCTCCTCTAGGCAGCTAGGGATGGTAGGCAAAACCCTGAAAAAAATAATTTGGGACAAGTCATCAGGTAAGAATTGTTTAACTCCATTCTGCAGCAGAGGAGATTGAAACTCAGAGAAGTCATAAGAGAGGGAGACAAGAATGAAATCGGAGCCCAAAGCTGTAAAAACCCTGTCCTCTGCTTCTCAAGCCTCTCTAAGATGTCTGATGTAGCCACTTAAATGTCACACACTTCAGGGACAGTTTCTTTGGCAGTAAAATAAGGGTGGGCAACAGCAGGGGACACCGAGCCCTGGAGGGCCATTACTCAGTGTGTTTTCTAGAGGCCAAGGTCACTCCTAGATCCTCATTTTGGTATCAGTGGGATATTTTTCTGCTGGAGGAGGCACTTGTGACAGTAGATTTGATGGTTTGAAAGGGGAAGAAGGTCTTAAAAAAAAAAAGTGGTTGATTGGGGCTTTGGTGGCCAAAACGACTTCCCCACATACCAGCTGCCAAGACTTGGGTCCCATAAGTTAGAGCAATAGAGATAGCTAGAAGATACATAGACCAACTTGAACAACAGGCAGAAAGCTGGACAAGGAGCTTTTGTGTCTCCCAAGTGGAGGTCCCGGGGGCACTGTGGAGGTGGCTGTATGTCACTCTGACCTTACTTCTGGTGGAGCAGAAGCCAGTACCCTTCCTAGGCTCCTCCTAGGGTTGGTAGCCAGGCCCCATTGGCTGATGTGGAGCCTAGCAGAGCCCAAGGCTCCAGGGTCTGGGGCAAGTGCCTTGGCCACAGGAAGAGGCTTGCTCTGAGTTCAAAGAACCAGTGTCAGACAGTGGGAGGTGAGAAGTGACTGGCCCAGAAAAATAGGCCCTAAAAGGGACTGGCACTGGGACAAGGTATCGCTGAATCAGCACTGAAGACCAGAACTTACACTCACAGATCAGAGATAGATTGGGGAAGCGAGGGAAGCACTCATCTATCCATCCATCCACGCGCAAACTCAAGGACGGACACTTCCCAGTCATCTGGTATAGCAGTAGGAAGAAGGCACACGCAAATCCTTGACCCCCTGAGCTCACAAACCGGGACAGGGACAGAAACAGGATCCAGGAGGACAGAAGGCTATCTATCAGAGGAGGGCAGAGATGAGTGACTAAACAGTCCAGGGGGACTGGACTGGTGAGACGGAGGAAGGGGAAATGGATCGGGGAGAGAGCGGGAGTTGGGGAGGGAAGGCTTCTTTGACTTCAGTGCCCTGGCTTTCGGGGTTTTCCCAGCAGAGCCCTAACCAGATCTGAGCGAGTCTCTCCCACGAGAGCCGGGCTGGGGTGGGGCGGGGTGGGGATGGTGGGTTTGTGCTCAGGTCCCACGGTGGGCAGCGACAGGAGTGACCTCAAGCACCCAGCAAACCTTGGCCAGGGGTGGGGGGAACTTCAGCATCTCAGGAAACTTCTCACAGGTTCCTGCCTGGGAGAGCGAGGCGGGTGGCGGGTGGCCTGGGTCGGGTCAGGCTGCACAGCATCGCTAACCCCTCCCCACCCCTGCCCTGCGCGGCACCCATCGCGGACGCGTTGACCCCGCTGCCCCGTACGGTTGGGCGGTGTCCCCCAAGCGGGTGGCAGGGTTACGAGGGAACGGTCCCGGCGGGCGGGGGCGGTTCCCGCGTCGGTCCGGTGCCCGCCCCGCCCCCTCCGGCCCCGGGGCTGTGGGGTGGGGAGAGGGGCGGGGCGGGGCGGGGCCGCGCGCTCCCGGGCATGTGGGCACAGTCCGGCCCCGCGATGGGGAGACGGCACCAACACCCGGGAACTAAGGCCCCGGCCCCCGGCCCCGGCTAGCTGAGCGCGGAGGCGAGGATCTGGGCGCCTGGAGGGGACGGGGCGAGGCCTCGGGACGAGGGTGCACACTCGGGGCCGGGCAAGGGGAAAGAAGGGTGCGTGAGGCTGTCCCCCTGGAGCAGGACTCGGAGCCGGGCTGTAGCGCATACCTGGACAGTGGGAACGAGCGGCAGGTAGGTGATTGAACTTTGGGCCAGAGCTGGAGCCAGAGCTGGAGCGGCGATCTCTGCCTGGTGGCCCGGCGGCGGTGTGTGTTGGTTGACTGTACCCGGGCGCCCACGGGGCGGGGAGCTGAACTTGGGAAACTTGTCTGTTGTGCTCTGGTGTGGGCGCCCCTGAGGCCTGGGGTCGGCGGCCAGAGACCCGAGGATCCCTTCCCCACCCCACCCCCAGACCTGTGGCGCGTGTGTCCTCCCCCTAGGGTCACTCTGGGTGGCCCCAGGTCCTAGGTGTCTGTGAGACTGGGAAAGGAGGCGGCTGCAGGGAGTTGGGAGGAGGTCCGGGCAGAGGCCGGGAAGGACAGCTAAGAATTTAATTTCTGTAACTTAATTTACTGTAGGAAGAGCCAGTCTATAGAGGAGCAGTGTCCACCCGCTTCTAGGATTACAGTGATGGGGTTGGGAGGGAGGGTCTCTCCCCCCTCCACTCCATCTCCCCGCAGGAGCTAGGCCCAAGTTGTTATTCCTGTCAGTGTGACATCCACAGCTTTCCTGAGTCCACAGCCTTGTTTTGGACCTAGGCTGCAATAATGATAAGCTTTTGAGGAGCAGGTTGGGGCCCCAGGGAAGTCTCATTTATCTGTGGGTGGGAGTGGGAAGAAGAAGGTTCTTTTTAAAAGGAGGCCTGTGTGAGAGAATGTGCATGGAAAGTCCTGACTGAGAAAGCCTGTCACTCTTTTGTCTCTCCTCCCTGCCTGTCTTGGGCTATGGATTAGAAGTTCAGAAGGCACAGGGGGCAACCCTTAGAAATGGCTACTGAGTATAGTTATGACCTCTCCAGATCTTTCCTTCACCGGCTCAGCATGTACCGAGATCTGAGGCTTCTATCTAGATCAAGGCTTCATGATGACCCCATGAGAGCTTTGCTGTGGTGGCTAAAACCTCCAGTCAGGCCATTTTGCCATCTATAAGTTGAGAATGGTGATCCTTGCTTCTTTGAATGCAAAGTTGCTGTGAGGATTCTTAAGACATAGGCTAGGAATGGTGTGTGTGTGTGTGTGTGTGTGTGTGTGTGTGCACATTGGGGATTGCACTTCAGGCCTAGTGCATGCTAAGCATGTGCTCTGCCACTAAGCTGTTCCTTCTCCTCCATTCCCACCCCCACCCTGCACCCCAGTCCAGGGAAGGACTTTGTAAGTTCAGTGCAATGCTGAGAGGAGGAATGTGATACTCAAAGACTTAATGACCTTTTGAAGACACTAATAGGACACAGGTGCCATAACAAGGGATTGTGCTGGTTATTGGAATTTAATTATCCAAAGCCTTCTTCCCCCATACTCTCCTCTGGAGATAGATTGCTATAAAAAAATCTACAAAAATCTCTCATTTTATCTTCTCATGATTCCTGTGAGAAAGGAACTATCATCTGCATTTTGCAGATGAGAGATGCTTAGATGCTTAGCAATGCTTAGAGAGCATCTTGCCCAAGGTCACAAAGTCAAGGTGAAACCTGGGACTTCTACCTGCTTGTCCTAGTTTCGTCCTCCCTCTCTAAGATAGAGAGACTATCAGTGTGAGGCTAGCCTCTGGCTTCCATGCTGAAGGGAATTTGAATCTTGCCCTAGGACCACATCTTATGTCTGTGATTAGGGGAGGGGAGGAAGTGCCCTTGTGACATCTCCCCTAACTGCTTTCTATAGGCCTGTTAGGTGCGCTCTTTGGCTCACACCTTCCTCTGGATCCCCAGGCCTGGCCTCTCCAAACTATGGAGAAGCTGCCTGTGTGACCCTCCTTGGCTTCTGTACCCATCCTAGAAAAAAACCACTTGTAGGATGAGGCCAGGCCATCTTGGTTCTTTGATTCTGTCCCTATCACCCAGCACAGATGGGGCACAGAGCAGATGCCAGGGAGCATTTGAGAAATAAATGAGCAGGTAAAATACAGAGGAGATGGGCTTTGTTCCATGAAGAGCCATAGGGAGTTTTGAGGTGGGGAGTCCCTCCACTGTTCTATCCACCAATCTCTCAGGCCTGGGTCATTCTTGGCCTGGGATAAGAAGCAGGAAGGTGGATATTCTGGATCCTGCTGAGCAGCTTCTCGTGATTCTGTATCCTGGTACCCATCACTGTTACTGTATCTTCCCAAGGGAATGGCCTGGGCACCAGGCTTATATTGATGTGGCTTCCTGGTAAGTGTCCAGACTCTCAGCCCAGTTTGTAGGAGGAGGACTCTTGCCATAGCTGAGCAGGCAAGAAGAATGTTTTCCCCATCTTATGGGGAATGCAGGACCAAGGGACCAGCTCTTTGTATATTTAGTCTCTTCAGACTTCCCAGTTACAACTTTTGTAAAGGTCAACTCTGGCTCTGTCTATGACTTTTTTTTTTTTTTTTTGGTCTGTCATGGGACTTTAACTCAGGGCCTGTGCTCTACCACCTTGAGCCACAGCTTCATATCTTGTTTTCTGATGGTTAATTGGAGATGAGGATCTCACTGACTTTCCTGCCCTAGCTGGCTACCTACTACAACTCTCAGTTCTCAGCCTCCTGAATAGCTAGGATTACAGGTATGAACCACCAGCACCTGGCTTTGACTTTCTCTTCTTAAGACAGAGTAATGATCATCTCCTCAGACTGGCATTTGAACCTTTCATATGAATTCCTAAGGCCCCACACATTCTATCCTACCTAAACCTGTATGCCAACCATACACAACCTCCCAGCCTTTCCAGACAGGCTGTGCCCTTACCCACTAAGTCTTGACACAGGCTTCTCTTGCCTCTGATGTCCTCTAACCTCTTTGTCCACTCGAAAAGCCTCACATATTAAATCCCTAGGATGTTCTCTCTAATCACCTCAGTCCCAGGTTCCATGCCCCTGGGCTTCCTTAGGCTGTGGCTGATTTGCACAAGGAGACTTTTTCATGGCTGTGTCTCTCCCATCCTCCAAGACTGGGGCTTGGCAGAGTGGGATCTGAGGCTCTGTTTGCCTGTCCCTCTGAAACTGGGCACATGAGAGCATTGGCAAATGCTTGCTGAGATGTTGGCTCCTGGGAATATGACTTGTAATTATGTTACTCTGAGTGTAGACTCCTGGATGGTTCTGAGAATCTCAAAGATGATCTGAATCTCAATAACAGAACTGAAAGAACTGTTAGCACACACTCCTGGGACCAGACACTCTGAGAACCAGTGACTTTAGAATTCTGCAAGCACTTGGAAGCAGAGTCTCAGTCTTGCACACATTTTGTTCTCTACTTGAATTCTCCCACCTCCCTCTTTCCTCCCAAGTAAGGGTCCTCCTGGTCCTCTCCACACTTGCTCTTCTAGGAGCCTCCCTAAAGACCCTGGCCATGACCTCTGCCCCTCTGCTCGGGACACTTGGGCAGGACTCCCTGCTGAAAAGTATCGTGGGATCCTGGAATTCAGTGTCTTTCTGCCAGGATGGGTAGATGCAGACACTACATTAGAACAATACAGGATTCACTTGCACCAGGGAGGCACCATCTGTTTCCTTGTTTGATTCACTCCTCTTGATCTGTTGCATGGAGTGGTGATTCTCTCATTTGACCAGTAACAAACTCTACACTCATCTGGGAGGACTGAATTAATCAGATTGTACAGCATAATCACAGGTTCCGAGTGGGAGCCTGCACCCTGGGTTCTTAGCTCTTGAGTCTGATTGAAGGCATCTGGTGTGATTGGGTAGGGTAGAGCTTGTCTTCATAACCCTATGCTGGCTTGGCTAGGCCAGGGGCCAGGTCAGAGCGGTAATTTGGAGTCCTGCCTTGAGTGAATAAGGATCCTTCTTCTTGCTGTGTAAGTCTTGCTGACCTTGCTACCCACTCAGATGCCTGCTATAGCCAGGATCCTGGGTACCTCTAAGAAGTGGTCTTGGGGTGAGGCATACAGATCACGAGAGACTAATGGAGGGGAGACTTCATATAGTGAAGCCATCATCCAATAACATTTAAGGTTACCCTCAGCTGTTTCCCCAAACCATCCCAGGCAAGCCTGGGGCCCCACTGGCTTTCAGTCCCTTGGAGGGCATTTGCAAGGGGCAGAGGTGACTTCTAGGCACTTAATCCTCCTATGCAGCTCAGCCTTCCACTGCTTTTAAGCTCCTTAGATGATTAACAGTTCAAGTTGTCTTTGCTCTGGTCTTTGCACGCTCCTCTCTATCTCCACCCACCTGACTCCTTCTCATCTTGCAAAATGCTAGTCAGATAACCTTGGAGGGCAGAGCTGATGGCCCCATTAGGGGCCTCCTTGGCTTCCTTGGGGCCTGATCATCATGAATCGTCACTGATAGCTTCTGGGTATACATCCTGACCCTTGACAGTTCCGTGAGATCAGGGAAAGGCCTGGCCTCAGAGTCCCCAGGTACCCTCCACAGGGACAGCCAGAGATATGGCAATCTCTGTGAAGGGTAAGGTGGGAAGGGAAGAAATATAGACAGCCATCACTCTGCTGAGGTCCCAGGAATGTTTTCCATCTGACAAAGGCTTTTAGTGTGGTAAACTTGATATGTGGTCAGTCTGGCTGGGACATTGCTACCAGTAGCCCTGCCCATAATTCCTATGGGGCTTGCTGCCTCTATGTCTTATTGATACAGCTCCATCCTTCCTGCCTTTTCCACATCCTGAGACTTTCTCTTACTATTCTGTAAAATGAGCCTAAATTATCTGGCTTCTCCTCAGCAACCCTGGGCAAGTTCTGTTCTAAAAAGGGAAGAGTGAAATTTGGGGTTCAGAACTGAGATACTTTTCTGAGGACTACACCTAAGAATGGCAGATCTGGGCCCTCCCAGTGACTTAATGTCCTCTTCTCCCATCTTGATGTCATTCTAGGTCCAGTTGTTTCTTCTCCAGCATCCCTCCCCTGGCAGAGGCAGACAGCAAGGGTCTCCAGAGGATGACAGGCTGGACAGAGTCCACCAGTCAGACAGGTGCATAATCCAGAGTCACCCTAATGGAGAAGATGGAATGTTGTCCAACCACCCTGGAAATTCCAAAGCCAGCCTGGGAACTACTCTGGCTTTGGGCTCATTACTTGGAACCACTTGGCAGAGCTAGGTGAGGGGACAATGATCTACCTGCTAGCCTTGGCTTTGCCCTTAACACTGCCTAGTAACCTTTAGTGAGATCTTGAGCTACCCCTTTCTGATGTTAATTTTTCTAGCTATGAGATGGGTACAGTAACCACATTGGCCACATCACACAAAGGAAGTACTTCTTAGACACCTAGCCATGTCAGCAGAGCTTCAGAGCTCAAAGAGGATGGCTGGGGAGATTCCTGGGGATAGGGCCTGGGCCATGCAGGGTATGGCATAGTGGCCAGGAACACAGCTTTTGAAGTCAAACCAGAGTTCTGAGTTTGCTTCCTTTGTGACTCTGGAGAGCTTGTTTAGACTGAGTCTCAGAATTAAGTGGGAAGAAATGAATGAAGCCACTTAACCCAGAACCTGGCACAGACAGCACTTAACCCTTTTTTTTTTTTTTTTCTTGTCAGTCATGGGGCTTGAACTCTGCGCCTGAGTGCTGTCCCTCAGCTCTTCAGCTCAAGGCGAACGCTTTACCACTTGAGCTACAGCGCTACTTCCGGTTTTCTAGTGGTTTATTGGAGATAGGAGTCTCACGGTCTTTCCTACCTGGGCTGGCTTTGAACTGAGATCCTTAGATCTCAGCCTCCTGAGTAGCTAGGATTATAGGCATGAGCCACCAGCGCCCAGCTAGCACTTAACTCTTGTTAGGACATAAGTGTTAGGGGAGGGTGCCCCTAAGCAAGGTATGACCATAAAACTGGGACAGGGTGGAGGTAGGACAGTGGGATTTCTTTTCTTTTTTCCTCCTTCCTTCCTTCCTTTCTTCCTTCCTTCCTCCTTCCTTCCTTTCTTTCTCCTCCTCCTCCTCCTCCTCCTCCTCTTCTTCTTCTTCTTCTTCTATTTTGTGCTGGTCCTGGGGCTTGAACTCAGATCCTTGAGCTCTTGCTTAGCTTAGCTTTTTCCATTTAAGGAAAGTATAGAGGCTGGCCTCTATACTTTCAGCTTTTTTTTTTTTTTTTTGCTGCTTAACAATAGATAAGAGGTTTTCCTGCCTGGGCTGGTTTCAAACTACCATCCTCAGATCTCAACCTCCTGAGTACTAGGATTACAGTTGTAAGCCTGACAGGACAGTGGGATTTCTAGTGAGGGCAGTGACCAGATTAGCCAGGGTCTTGAGTTTGACACAGAGGGCAGGAGGCAGCCATGGAAAGGTTTTGAGGTCAATGTGATCAGATTTGGGTTTTAGGAAGACCCTGAGTCTGCAGAGTGAAGTCTAGACTGGCAGCACTGGGCAGAGCAGAGGCAAGGAGTCCAGTGCTAAAGCTAGCTCAAGAAAGGGTGGGAGCATGTGGGGCATGTCTGAGAAACTTCCTTGGTTGGGCTGACAGGAGTTGGTGAGTGATGAACTGCAGGTGGAGTGGAGAAGAAAAAGGTTGAAACCTAGAAAGGTGGTAGAAGCCTTCTCAGAAATGGAAGAATGCCTGAGAAAGTAGTGTGTTTCTGCCTTAGCTGGTTAGTCAGGGCTTCTCCTGAGGGCATGTGCCTGGGTGGAGTGGGGTGAAAAGGTGACATTCTGTCATCTTGTCATGAGAGTAGACAAATAGATAGCACCCTGCCCACAGGCTTAAGTCAGCTGGCGATGACAGGGCAAAGTGCACTAAGCAGCGAGTGGTCCAGAGGCATTTCCTCAGTCTCCATCCCAGCCTATTCCTGTAGCCACTGATTCCCTCATCCTCCCATTTGTGTACCAGCTTTGGAGGACTACACTTCTCTGTCCTAGGGAAATGAGGCAGATGGGAAAAGGTCACTCACTATTGCGATTTGTTTTCTTCTTCAGTGCATCTAAAGGGTCCTTGTAGCAGGCAACCATCCCTCACTAAAGCCCTATCTATACTTGGTGTGTGAGTGGGCCCCAAATGAGATTAAAGACTAGGGCTAGAATAAGGAAGATCTGGGCTCTAATCCTGACTCTATCCTTGGTTTAATGTAAGGCCTTGGGCTTCTGTTTCCTCTACTGTCATATAAAGGTTGGCATAAGTAATTTCCAAAGGCCATTCCAGGCTCTGAGTGACTCCACTGGGTCAATATGTGCATTGCACAAACATCTGAATGGGATTGTGGGCCTCTCTGCATGTCCGTGGTCTGCATGCACCTAAGCCTGTGTGTGTTTAAATATGGTAAATGCAAGTCTTTGTTACAAGCCTAGCAGTGTGAGAGAGGAGGAAAGGACTTTAGTTAGAAATATATCCTGGGGGGGCTGGGAAGGTGGCCCAGTGGTAGAGTGCTTGCCTTGCATGCATGAGGCCCTGGGTTCGATTCCTCAGCACCACATAAGCAAAAAGCCGGAAGTGGCACTGTGGCTCAAGTGGCAGAGCACTAGCCTTGAGCTGAAGAACTGAGGGACAGCGCCCAGGCCCAGAGTTCAGGCCCCACAACTGGACCACCCCCCAAAAAAAAAGAAAAAAGAAAAAAAAAGAAATATATCCTGGGGCTGGGTGCTGGTAGCTTATGCCTATAATCCTAGCTACTCAGGAGGCTGAGATCTGAGGATCACAGTTCAAAGTCAGTCCAGGCAGGAAAGTCCTTGAAACTCTTATCTTCAATTAAGTACCTGAAAACCAGAAGTGGAGCTGTGGTTCAAAGTGATAGAATGCTAACCTTGGGCAAAAAAGCTCAGGGACAGCATTCAGGACCTGAGTTCAAGCCCTACAACCCACCAAAAAAAAAAAGAAATCTATCCTGGGCAGAGGTATGTTTACTGTATCATGCTGGGTATTCTGGCAATGAAGGTACTGACCACTTCTGGCTGTGGGGCTGAAGTACAGAACCACAACAGAGAGAAGAGACAATAGATAGAGTCTGGGCTCAGCTCTGCTGGTGATGAGAGCACATCTTCTACTGCTCCCTCAAAGCAGAACCCCCTCCTGTGAAAAAGGGTGCTTGGGAAGGAAGCTATGAGCAGTCCATCCCTGGGGCATATGAGCTAACGATGATGGGGGGGGGAGGGTGTGCAGGGGATCATCTGATTAGGACAAGCATAGCCTCGCTGGCCATGGTTAGAGCAAAGGCAGGCAGGCTTGGGAGGGCTTGGCCTGGCTGGCTTCCCATGACCCAGAGCCAACTCTGTCTCCACCTCTTTGTTTCTGCAGGAGCCCCCTGAGGCAGCTGCCTACCCAGAAAAATGCTAGAGGCTGGGTGCGGCCCTAGGCCAGCCAACCTGTTTTTCCTGTTCCCTGCAGAGCTCCCAGCAGCCTGTCCTGGACTGTGCATTCATGAATGAGGAACCTGAGCAGGCATTGAGCATCCTGACGGTGAGTACTGGTGCTGATCAGGTAAAGGTGTGAGGGGTGGGACCATGGGCTGGGAGGGTGGGCAGATGCTTGCATAGATCCAAGGTGGGAGCTCTGCCCTGCTCCTTTATCCTAGGCTGTGGTAGATTCAGACTTTGGGGCTAGACAGCCTTAGGTTGCAAATCTAGCTTTTCAATTCTTGGCAATGTGATCTTGGACCAATAGCTTAACCATTGTGATCTCTAGTTGAGTGTGCATGAAGATGCTATACAGAAGCTGCTCAGCCCTGGCCTGATCCCTACAGGGAAGGGAGGATGGCAGGGGGAATTCTACAATGGGAAACGGATTGGTTGGCCTGAGCCAGCTGACCTGGCTCTAGAAAACTCTAGAACTCCCAAGTCTTACTCCCTCTGGTACTTGGCCCCATCCAAGGACAGAATCTTCTGGGTCCCTGTAGCTGTTGGAGAGACAGTCCAAGGATCTGCCTAGGATGGAAGGTCCCAAATGGGCTGGGCTGCCCTCTGTCCACCATTCATTCATTCATTCTCCATTTCCTATAATAGTAGTTCAGGCCTCAGATGGGACCCAGCCTTCAGGGAAATTCTGGAATGTATAGGGACCCACCAATGGGGTCTGAGGAATGGTCTGAGGGATGCTAGTGGAGCAGGTGAGCTCCAGGGAAAAGAAGACTGAGAAGATCCTGGAGTGTGGATGAGTTTTGGAAAGGCTTTCCAGACAGAAAAGCACAGCACAAACAAAGTCAGAGAAGTTTGGAAGGGCCTCACACAGCTCACATTTCCTTCCAGACTGGGGCAGGGCCAACAGAACTAGGCATTAAGTGGTGAGAAGAACCAATGACAAAGTCAGGTGGAGCAGTCTCCATGGACCTTGTCCCAAAGGCAACTGGGATCGGGAGAGGTAGAAGAGAGGCCTAAGGAAGAGGGCCAGAGACTGGTTGTCTGCAGAAAGCTGGGGCTGGGGACTAGGAGGAATGACATCACAGGTTGGTGAGCTGGCCTGTAAGGGAGAGGGCCGACAGGGTCAGTCTGGACCAGTGCCATAGTGATGGAGTTCCCAGCTGGCTTGGAGAGTGGAGGCCAGGATGTCTTAAAACAGGTGGAAAGAGCAGTTCCCTTGATTCCTGAGGGGACGGAAAATCCCCACCCACCTCACCATGTCAGAGATTCCACCTTAGTGACCAGCAGGAAACTGCAGACTGATGGGATGTTGACTAGGGAACAAGATGAGGGCTCTGATCTCACCTCTTAGGAGAGACTGCCCACACTCAGCACAACAATTAGAGCAGTCCAGCAGTATGGGGAAGACAGGTGTGCACCTGTAGTGTGGAAGATGCCATCTTCTTTTCTCCAGTGGGACAGACTCCCCCCGAGGGCTATAGTTCTCCAATGTAGGGGATTTGTGATTTGAGAGGTCTAAGACCTCATAAGCTCTTTTTCTGTTCTAAGCTAGCACTCTACCATTCCAGCTATATTTCTACTTCTGGCTTATTTTATTTTATTTTTGCTAGTTGTAGGGCCTGAACTCTGGGCCTGGGTGCTGTCCCTCAGCTCTTCAGCTCAAGGCTAGTGCTCTACCACTTGAGCCACAGTGCCACTTCCAGCTTTTTTCTGCTTATGTAGTGCTGAGGAATCGAACCCATGGCCTCATGTGTGCAAGGCAAGTGCTCTACCACTGAGCCACCTTCCCAGCCCCTCTACTTCTGGCTTTTTGTTGGTTAATTGGAGATGCCTGTCCTGGTTGGCTTAGCAGTAGAATTCTCAGATCATAGCCTCCTGAGTAGCTGGGATCACAAGCATGAGCTCTGTGCACACAATACCACATGAATTCCTGAAATTGCAGTTTGGCCATTCTGGGTCCAGAAAGAGATGCAGGATCAGATAGCAAACCACCCTGAACCAAGGCAAATTTAGGGAAATCTAGGCACTTGGGGTCCCTCTTAGTGTTAGCTCCCTGCTCTGTATCTTGGAGCGCCCCCCACCATAACCCTGATGGGTTCCTTTCTATCTCTCCTACAGGGCCATGGCAGAGGCAGACCTGGATTTCTGGAATGACACCAGCAATAGCACGTGGGATGGGGATGAGCTGGGCTACAGGTGTCGCTTCAATGAGGACTTCAAGTATGTGCTGCTGCCCGTGTCCTATGGCGTGGTGTGCGTGCTGGGGTTGTGTCTGAATGTCGTGGCGCTCTACATCTTCTTGTGTCGCCTGAAGACCTGGAACGCCTCCACCACATACATGTTCCACCTGGCTGTGTCGGACTCACTCTATGCAGCCTCCCTGCCGCTGCTGGTTTATTACTACGCCCGGGGTGACCACTGGCCTTTCAGCACAGTGCTCTGCAAGTTGGTACGCTTCCTCTTCTACACCAACCTCTACTGCAGCATCCTCTTCCTCACCTGTATCAGTGTGCACCGGTGTCTGGGCGTCCTGCGCCCTCTGCATTCCCTGCGCTGGGGCCGAGCCCGCTATGCCCGCCGGGTGGCAGCGGTTGTGTGGGTGCTGGTCCTGGCCTGCCAGGCACCTGTGCTCTACTTTGTCACCACCAGCGTGCGTGGAGCCCGCATCACCTGCCACGACACTTCAGCCCCTGAACTTTTCAGCCACTTTGTGGCCTACAGCTCTGTCATGTTGGGCCTGCTCTTCGCCGTGCCCTTTGCCATCATCTTGGTGTGTTACGTGCTCATGGCACGCCGGCTGCTCAAGCCAGCCTATGGGACCACTGGTGGCCTGCCACGGGCCAAGCGCAAGTCGGTGCGCACCATCGCCCTGGTGCTGGCCGTCTTCGCCCTCTGCTTCCTGCCTTTCCATGTCACCCGCACCCTCTACTACTCCTTCCGCTCACTTGACCTCAGTTGCCACACCCTCAATGCCATCAACATGGCCTACAAAATCACCCGGCCCCTGGCCAGTGCCAACAGTTGTCTTGACCCTGTGCTCTACTTCCTGGCTGGGCAGAGGCTTGTCCGCTTTGCCCGGGATGCCAAGCCACCGACAGACCCTACTCCTACTCCCCGGGCTCACCGCAGGCTGGGCTTGCACAGGTCTGGCAGAAATGACACTAAGAGGAAAGAAGTATCACTCAGTAGTGATGACTCTAGGCGGACAGAGTCCACGCCCACTGGGAGTGAACTTACAAAGGACATCCGACTCTAGGACCTGAGCCCCTCGGCCTTGTGCTAGTTTATATGAGATAGCTGTAGGGGACCAGGGCTTGTTCAAGTGAGAGTTGGGGAATCAGATTCATAGAAAGGCAAGCCTTGGGTCTAATGCTACCTGATACCCGCACAGGTGGCTGGCCGTTCCCACCACCGTATCCAGGCTGGAGTTCAGCCTGAAGTGAAATGGTGAAACAGATTCAGAGAGGAAGGTGACTTAGCAAGATCACTCAGTAGAGTGTGGGCCTGAGCTAGCTGGATTGGGGGCGAAGTTACAGGGTAACCACGGGACCCTGGTAAGTGGTCAGGGCTGAGTTTGCACAGTGGTCTGAGATGGGACTGGGTACCACAGTGAACTCAGCTCAGAGGAGTATACCTGGCCCAGGAGATGAACATCTGGGGACTGATGTTATAAACCTGTTTGGAGGCTCCCTTGGGCTGGGAGATAATTTGAAGCTATAACTTATACTAAAGGTTGTGTTGCCTGCTGAGCGGGACTCTGTTGTGTGTCAATGGATATAGATGCGATCTGGGAAGCTTTTCACCTCCACACAGCGGCTTTTCTCCAGCCTGTGCTGCCTACTTTCCCACTACTGCGTTGGGAGAGTCTCACATCAAGGATCCCACAGCAGACCCCAGCTGCCCCCCTACCCCGGACACTTTGAAGACAGTTAGCTTCCATGCCTAGTTCATGCTAAGCACAGAGAATAGTCACATGGGGTCCCACCCAGTCCTTGAGGTTCCCCAGTATAGGTGACAAATCATGCACTGATCAATATTAAACTATTTAACCAGATCCACTCCTTGAGGCTCATGGGAAGCCCTTATCGTATTGCCAGTTGCTATGGTATAAATATTCCCACCACAGCCAAGTGTTTTTTTTTCTGTTTATAGCAATTTTATTCATAATTGCTAACATTGGAAAGCAACCAAGACCCATAGCCAATTTCAACTTACCAATGTAATGTCAACCTCTGCAGAATTTCTGAATATTTAATTGCTGGCACTCACAAGCAGGTACAAGTTGCTTCACCACGGGTCTTGCAGAGTGTTTGGGTAGGAGCTAGAGGGTCTTGGTGTTTGTGTGTGAGTGTAGGGGGCAGGGGGCCATGTCCTGAGCTGTCTGTCACTTTCAGGAAAAGAGGTTAATCAGAGCACTCAGATGCAGGCATAGAACAAGGGGGCAGGCAGGGTAAGGACTGGGTCCCAAGGGGCCTGGCTAGGCTTCCTTTACACAGGGGGCAGTGTGAAAGACTCACGGCTCATCTCATCTAAGTGGGACTCAGCTGGACAGCTCCTAGCCCAGGCCTTTGAGCAGGATTTGGGCAAAGCTGATGGGCCTGTCACGTGGCTTCAAGGACAGGGGCTCACCGTTGCCTATGGCCTTACTCTGCCTGAGGGAAAGACCCTCTCCACCTCTCCACCTGCTTCCTGTGACATCTCCATCCTTCCCATTTTGCCTGCCTTTGTTGGCAAAAGGTGACCCAGGGGTTGCTCTATTTATGTTGTTTGTTTTGAGATGAGGTCCTGTTATGGTTATGTCCAAGCTAGCCTTCAACTCCTGAGTCCAAGTGATCCTCCTGCAGATCTAGCCTCCTTCTAGACAGGCTATTGCTTTATTTAGAGCCTAGCTGCCTAGCGCCCTCAAGCGGCAGCGACCTGTCACAGGCTGCAATCCCCGTGCCTGAGTTGTACAATGCCAGGTAATCTGCCTGTTAATGTGGCCAAAGTCCCACTGCGCTTTCTTGGTGATAGCTTCTTACAGCCTGGCATGGATCTTTCCTTCAGGCCTGAGCCTATTTCTTTCTTACAAGCTGCTACTCAGGTGGAACCCCATCCTACTTTATAGAGAATGCTATCCCAGGTGGAAAGCTCTGCACTCTGACCCTCTCTACTCTGCTGAGATCTGGAGGCAGGGAGTTGGTCCTCATGGCTTTGGGAGCCCCCAGTGTGCATCTATGGGCATGGCTACCATAGCACTTTCCCTGTGGATGGAGACCAGTATGGCCAAGCCCCCAAAACTTACCCTAAGCCATTGCCTGCAGATTTCTCAGGATATAAGACTTGGGAGACAGGCAGGCTTAATCCCTGCCAATCCTGTGGCAGGCATGGGTAAGGCAGAGAATGATGACCCTAGAGGAACCAAGAGCAGGTGGGTCGCACCTCTGGACAGAAATCAGACTCCTAGGCCTTCTATGTGGACATGTGGCCTTGCTGCTCAGTGTCTAGGCAGCTCGCCTGGAGGGCAAGGTTCCAGACCCTGCCGTCTTGTGCTATTTTCAGCCCAAGTTAAGATCAAGATTTTCCATTCCTGCCCTAGACCATTGTCCAGCAATGACATGGGGTGACCAGCCTGTCCTTAAAATATTTCCTCTCACTCTCTGGACCTTCCTGGTCCCTCTGGATCTCTCCACCCTGACATCACTTCCTAGAGCTGTTGACTCCTGAAGGCCACTACTAAAGGACACTCGAGTCACTCTGTCGCCAACAGGAGTCTAAGGGTTATCCCGCTCAGCCAGAGAGGGGCGGGGCCAAGGTCAGTCTGTAGATCAGTGTGGGAGCCTGGGCAGGAGCCAAGCTCAAGCTGCTTCTGCTGCTGCACCACCCTCCTCACAGCCCAGATTCTCCCCTCCACCCCCCAGAGCTGTGGAGCTGAGGCCAGGGTTGCAGAGTAGAGGGCAGGAGGAAGGGGAGATAGGCCTCTGCGTGGCAGCGGTCCTCAGTAAGTTCCAGGTGACAGAGAGTGGCTTCTGGTACCTGTAAGTCTCTTTTCCCCAGGGTGGTTCAGGATATATGGGGGATCCTAGCGACATGTCATCTTACCCCCCAAGGTTAGAAGAGGTCCTGGACAATGTATTCCCCTCACATACTTCCTCCAGGCTCGGTCCAGGTCAGGCCACCAGTCTGCCCCTTTGCTACCTTGTCAACACAGATTTAGGCTGGTTTGTGTAGAGTCAGAGACATAGGGGAGGGAACTTGTCCCAGGCACCAAGGCAAGATGATTACATCACTATATTATTTATCCTTCACCCTAAGAAGTGGACATCACAGTCCCCTTTAGCAGGAAGGGAGAGGTGGGCAGCAGTGATGGCTAGCTCCAAGGGTGAGTGGAGACAGAATCCGGGTCCCTCATGTCCACAGCCATCTCCTGTCCACATGGCCTATCCCACATGACTTGCAACCCCTGCAGGGCAGGAGGGTCTGTGCTGCTAGTCATGATTCAGGGCCAGACAGGCAGAGTGTCAAGGAGAGGGTTTAGATCTCATCTGCACGTTTCCAGCAGGTCACTCTATTGTACAGTGCTGTTTCTTCCTGTCAGGGGGATGCTGTCTTCCCTGAAGGCCTTAGCCTGGGGCCTGGTGCTATGCCAGGATGTATGAAGCCCTCCCAGAGTAGGCGCACTATGTCATCACATCAGGATCAATGCTTTGGAATAGACCACAGTGGGCAACAAGGGACCTGCTTGATCCAGGGACTTCTTTGGCCAAGCCTCCCCTACCTTGCATGCAGCTGTGGGAGGATTGACACAGGTTCATCCTGGGTAAACTGTCACCCTCGTCTTGTTGTACCTGGGGAGCGTTCAGGCATACTGGCCTGTGTGTGCTTCCAAAATCGTATCCAGGTGCCTGCTAGGGGGGACAATAGACAGAGGGCACAGTAAGAGGAGGAAGAAAATGAGAGTGCCCCTGAGATCAAGTGACAGAAGCCAGAGCCTGTTGGCTGGAGAAAACAGCAGCAGAATCAGCTGTTTCTCCCTATCAGGTGAGTCTCCGCCTCCCTGAAATGTTCTGCAGCCACATCTTGGTCCAATTAAGAGCCTGGAGATCCAGGTTACAAGGACTCACTAGACTAGAGCTGGGCCAGAGTAAGCAATGAATGCGTAGGTTTTGCTTTGTGACCTGAGGCCACCCACCTGCTCTGTCTGGGTTGCCCTCCACAGTTTTGCTTCCCTGTCCTATTCTTCCTCAGTTAAGCTACCTACACTTTAAGCGACAATGAATAGCTGCTTCTCAGGCATGCCAAGCCCACTGGGCTCTTGGTTCTGAGGACTGGAATGGGGGGAGTGTGCTCTCTGGCATCAAGTGAATAGATAGTTGAAGTGATCCCCCCACTACCACACAGTGCCACACATTGGGATGGTGGCTGTCTCTGTCTCCTGTGGATGCAGAGTAGGGCTTGGCCAGGAGGCCTGGACTGTAGGGGAAGGGACTTGAGCCCCAAAGTCAAACTTATATCCTCCTCTGCCTCAATGAATACTGTGTCCCCTCTCAGTTTCCCCATCCTTGATGCTTGGCTCTGCTCAGCCTCTCTTTGCTCACAAGGGGCTCTCTGGGTTTGGCCCTGTCTTGGCTCCAGCTCAGACAGGTGTCTCATCTCCTCCCTGTCTCAGCCAGGAACAATGGAGCAGGCAGTGCTGATCTCTCATTGGCCTGAACCCTGTCCCCTGGGGCTCCATTCACCCACCACCTTGGACTATTTTCATCCCCAGCAGATGGAATCAGAAAAAGACTTTCCATTCCCAACACAATGCCTGCCCTGGACCATTGTCCAGCTGTGATGTGGGGGAGTCTGCCTGGCCCAAAATAACTCCTGTGCCCACCTTCAGGCCTCCCTCCCATCTCCTCATTTCTCCACCCTACTCTTGTTTCCTGAGGCTGTCAACTCCTGAAGTCCACTAAGAAACAGCATGTGAGACGCCACAAGTTGTATTTAATTTCTGTCTTGGCAGGGACTCCAAGGATTGTTTGGCTGCTTAGTGGGACTGGTGGCCCAGAGATGGCTGTGCCTTGTCCAAGGTCACAGAGCAGCCAGGGTGGAGCTTAGGCATAAACCCAGGGTTCTCTGGCTGTTCCCCTAAACTCAGGCATCTCCAGTAGCTCTACCTCCTGGAAATGGAAGCTAAGGATAGAAATCCTGACAAGAGGACTGAGTAGTGGTGGTGTAGAAGGAAAGAAAAGAGGGTGTCTTTCTCTTTCTCTCTCTTTCTTTTTTTTCTTTCTTTCTTTCTATTTCTCTTTCTTTCTTTCTCTCTCTCTTTCTCACTTTCTCCAGTCCAGGGGATTGAACTCAGGGCTTGGGGACTGTTCCTGAGCTTCTTTTGCTCAAGGCTAGCACTCTACCACTAGAGTCACAGTGCCACTTCTGGCTTTTTCTGTGGCACTTAGGAATCGAACTCAGGGCTTCATATATGCTGGTCAAGCACTCTACCACCACTCTACCACATTCCCAGCTCAAGAGGGTGCATCTCTGATTCTTTGCAGAGGTAATGGGTTATGTATGATGCTGGAGCCTTCATGAATGGGATGCATACCTGTGTTAGTCAGCTTTCTGTTACTATAACAAAATACTTGAGATGATCAACTTACAAAGAAATAAGGTTTACTTTGACTCAGAATTTTAGAGGTTTCGATCCAAGATCAATTGGTCCTGTTAAACATCATGGTGGGAGCACGTGGTTTAGCAAAACCATTCACCTCATGGTAGGAAAGGT